GTGTGTGTGTGTAAGTGTGTCTGCAGCAGGAGCGAGGGGAAATGTGTTTGACATACGCTCACACACACTCTCTGAACAGCAGGACACGATTAATGACCACAGAAGAAGACTGATGCAGTATGTGCTCACTCGCTCACCCGCCTCTCTCTCTGCTGGACACACAGATTCACTATTACTCTCACACTCTCTCTCTCTCTCTCTGTCTGTTGTAGAGTCACTGATCTGCAGAAGTGTGTTTCTGTCCTTCAGGAGTGTTCTCCGCTGACTCAGAGTCAGGGTTGAGGTTCAGCACTCTTTCAGACACACAGCAAACACACGCTGCTCTTACTCTGAGCTCGAGTCTACAAGTTCTGAAATCAAGAAGCATTTCCTAGACAAGCAGAACATATAGCCACAATTACAAATCAGCTCAGTTTACTCTTTCTTCGACTTTCCAACTGTGATGTAGATGATCAGGAATAATCCCATCACTGCGCTGTTTCAAGAGTTCACCCTTAGATGATGATTGATTATGAAGCGTGTTTGTCCTGGGAGACAGCCCTGAGCTCAGAAGATCCTCGAGCATGGGGCTCCCTCCCGTTTGCAGGCTGAGAGGGGAGTTTGAGCTCAGGTAGATGTGGGGAACTCCCCTGCTGTAGTAGCTGATGAGCAGATAGTGATCGCTCTTAACAGATAACTACTGACTAGCAGCATGTCTGTGAGCTGATTAGTCAGTTAACTTAAGCGGCATGTTTCTGGACGGTGGGAGGAAACACACGCGAGCACGGGGAGAACGTGTAAACTCCTCACAGACATGTCAGCTGGCTTGGTAAGGACTAGAACCAGTGACGTTCCTGCTGTGAGGCAACAGTGCTAACCACTGCGCCACCCATATAGGAAAGGAGGAGGAGTAGAGGAGGAAGGGGGGATTCTTCAGGATGAAGATGGCTGTGATATGGAGCTGAGGGTGTTTATAGTGGATTAGGACTCGTCTGATTGGTCAATCATGAATTGAGTAATGCGGGACCAGCTGTGATCAATCATAAGCACCTGATCCTCTCCACATTAGTGTTTAAATAAACTTCACTAAGTGGTAAAGAAGAAGTGTTTGTTCTGCCCAGACTTATGATGGTAACTGATGAAGCTTTATCAGGATATAAACACCAGACTGACTTGAGCTGAAATAGAGACCGCTTTAACAAACACAAGAATCTGCCAATATTCTTATTTCCAAGTGACCTTCAGTTCCTCCACTGTCAGGTGATTGAGCTTGTGTCAGGAGATGATGTCATGATGTCTGAACACAACACTATACTCTACTCTAGTGTGTGGAGTGTGTGTGGAGTGTGTGGAGGTCTGGAGTGTAAACAGACACAGACTCAGAGTAAGAGCAGTGTTGTACAGCATCATCGCTCTGCTGCAGAACTCTGCCATCATCATGGATAACTCATGTCATAATGTGATGTGTGTGACGTGTGTTTGGGGTATTCCCCAGCGCGGGTCATCTTCAGAGTGTGGAACAATACAGAAGTGTGCTGGTTTCCCAGAGCAGAGCTCGGTGTTTCTGCATCTGTGTGTGTGTGTGTGTGTGTGTGTGTGTGTGTGTGTGTGTGTGTGTGTGTGTGTGTGTGTGTGTGTGTGTGTGTGTGTGTGTGTGTGTGTGTGTGTGTGTGTGTGTGTTTTCCCTCCGCCTCTGCTTTACACAGATGTATGTGCTGAACACATGGCACTGTTCAATCTGTCACACACACACACACACACACACACACACACACACACACACACACACACACACACACACACACACACACACACACACACACACACACACCTGTTTCACACAGCTGCTCTTGAGCACAGCTGCTCTGCATTCTGGATCAGTTTCAGGAGAAACACACTGCACTCAAACACTGCTCATAGTCTTGTTTCCAGTCCAGATATCTACAAACTCCTCATCCAAGAAGCATTTTCTAGACTAGATTTAACTTGTGTTTATTCTTACACAATGGGCTTAGTAAAATAATTTAATATTAAAGAGAGACATGAGTATTCTGCTTCCTCCAGTGGCAGATTATTTACACTGTTTTTAAGCACAAACTCACTTCATTTTGACTCATTATTTCTAAACATCACAGGGTCTCAGTGCTGTCGCATTGTGTCCTCACAGCACTCAGGTCTCTGGTTTGAGTCTCGGCTGGGTCAGTTGGTGTTTCTGTGTGGAGTTTGCATGTTCTCTCCATGTTGGCGTGGGTTTCCTCCACAGTCCAAACACATGCGCTATAGGGGAACTGATCAACTAAACTGGCCATAGTGTATGAGTGTGTATGAGTGTGTATGGGTGTTTCCCAGTATTTGGTTGCAGCTGGAAGGGCATCCACTGTGTGAAAGATATGCTGGAATAGTTGGCGGTTCATTCTGCTGTGGTGACCCCTGAAATAGAGACTAAGCCTGAGGAAAATAAATGAATTCATGTAATCCAGATGAAGTGGCGCCTGTGCTGACTCAGTCTGGGGTATTCTGAAGACAAAATATCTGTTGATGGCATTAGTGTCAGAATCCACACGGCTTCAGTAACCAGTAACTCTCGAGTCGTATTTTAGTCTGAATGTCACTCATGTTAGGACTGATCTGGCTAAAACTGCTGGGATTTGCACTCTTCAAATGAAGCAGTGGGTTTAAAACATGTCATCTGAAGATCCTCATGTGTACAATAGGAGATGATTGAAGAGTCGTGGTGCTGTATTTTCATTACAGTTGACATGTATTGCTCTTAGTCACGTGTATGTGTATCAGTGGGTCACATATCTTGGCCAGGACACTCTTGTGAAAGAGATAGATTTAATCTCAGCTTCTCAGCTCAGGTCTCCAGTGAAGACACATCAGGCAGGACGCCATCATGTCATCAGACTGACACTGTACTCTTGATGTGGAGGACAGATGTGGGACGTTGCATTCAGTTTGGAAATAAAATCAGGTTGATGTCAGAACCAAACGTCAAAACGTCAACGTTCCACATCGGACGGATGATGCATTTTGGTCACTTTCCAACACAACCTAAAATCAACCAAATATCAACGTCTAATGATGTTACAGCTTGATGTTGTGTGGAGGCTATCAATATGACGCTGGATTTTGGTTGCTGTACCTGATGAATAAATGTCAGTATTTGACGTCAATATGACGCTGGTGTCTCAACGTTTTGGTCACTTGCCAACACAACCTAAAATCAACCAAATATCAACGTCATTATTGGACATCAGAATAACCTTGTCCATAGACGCTGGCGACCTAAATCCAGCCAATGTTAACGTCTGATAGCGTTGTGTGTCTACAGGGATGTGAGTGCTGATCAGTTCATCAGGAGTCTGCTCTCTCCCTCCTACACCTGTCTTGCTTCTTTTGAAGGAAACCAGAATATCCTGTGCTGCATCAATAATCAATCAGATCTGGTTAAATTGGCAGAAGTGAAAGTGCTGTGATGGTGTTTCAGTGTAAAAGACAAACTCAAGGACAGCGGACATGTTGAGGATCTTTCTTTTATTGCAAACAATATGATACAAAAGATAAGCTTCTGTGAAGAGTGCGGCGTGTTTTATATGACGGACACACACAGAACGGGGCTGGACAGAGATGCTGGTGCTCTCACAGAGATCTATGAAGGCCACACGTCTATAACCCAAACAACAACAACAACAACAGATTCCAGTTGTCTCCATGAAGATGTCCACACTGGTAAGTCAACTAGATTATCAAAACAACAGCTTTAGACATCAACCAATGATAAATAAAGGAGACGGTTAACGCTTGCGCTACAACTAAATCGTAATCATCTCCGGAGAACAACTCGTCACAAATTAGTCGCATCAAACCAAAGTCAAGAATAAGAACAGTATTACTTTCAAGTCAAATCAAGACTGATGAATAAATTAAAGAGGATAAGACTCTGACCAATGGGGGGCTCCGGTCAGCCTCGGGTCAAAGGTCACTTCCTGTTTGAGCTCCAGCAGAGTGTGTGTGTGTGTGTGTGTGTGTGTCTTTAGGCACAGGCGGATGAAGGCAGTGTGTTTTTCACAGAGGCTGATTTACGCTCAGGCACAGACTCTACAAGCGGTGGCGTCTCAGACTGTAGGATGAGCTGAAGCCCCACACCAATATACACAGAGGAGACGACACGTCCAGCAGATCAAGAGTCTTTACAAAAATACACAGTACATACTAAAATAACCGTCTCCAGCCTGTCCTCACAGAGGAACTCTGCTGGGTTCATTATATCTAGAAAAATATCATCAGAAGGCACGGTCAGGAGCTCTTCAGCACTGTACAGTCCGCCTGAAGCAGCAGCAGCCGAGGCCTGCAGTCAGCGTGAGGATGCGCTCGCATCTACAGCCGAATGTTGAGCAGGGGGCGGGGCTTTCTTCTGCACAGCATTCCCTCAGAGCACGCTAACAGGGGCGTGGCTAAGAATATTATTATGCAGTTGCTATGGAAACCCTCAGGCTGACGTCACTCCAAATGCAGAAGTAGATCCTCAGATATGAATTGAAGATTACCATAACATACAGCTGAGAAGGGGGCGGGGCTTACGTTTAGACCCTTCCCTCATAGCAGGGCCAGAGCGAGAGTGAGAGAGAGGAAAATGCTGGCTATACTCTCAATAGTTCCCAGAAATTAGCGCTTACAGCTGTAGACGGCTGGTTTAGCACTTTTGAAAGGCAGGAAGTTTTTAAAAATAAGACTATACTGTTACTGTACTGTTATCAAACATTAGGTATTCCTGGAACTGTTTGAGTCAATATCGCAGCTCTCTCTCTCTCTCTCTCTCTCTCTCTCTCTCTCTCTCCTCTCTCTCTCTCTCTCTCTCATAGCAGAATGGCTGTAAGAGGGGTGTGGCTAAGAATATGGATGAATATAGAGTTCATCACACTAGAATTATAAGCTTCTATCTGACATTTTGGTCAAAATTCAGTTCTTCACATATTCTTATTGAACCACAACTTATTTACATTATGGGATGTTTTTCATAAGTTGTTTACATTTTAGGACTTTTTATTTAAAAAACGACCGTTACACACACACTGTTTGCTGTGGAGTGCAAAAACTTTGAAGCTCAATATCTCAGAATCTAACCCAAACCCTAACCCTAATCTCAGAAAGAGAGAACCGTATAATTCCTAGGTGACAAGTTGCTATGGAAACCCTCAGGTTATTGTTAGCAGGAGCGCCACTGCAGATTAGATTGAAGATGACCACATGAGAAGATAAGCAGGGGGCGGGGCTTTGCTTCGTGCGCATCATTCTCTCATAGCCAACTAACGGTTAAGAGGGGTGTGGTTAAGAATCTAGATATGCAGTTGCCATGGACACCCTCAGGTTAACGTCAACAGAAGGAGCACCGCTCCAAACACTGCATTTTGATTGAGTACCTGGAGAGTATGGATGTGAGCGGGCAGAGTAGACACTGCTGATAGTGATTCAGGCGGACTTCAGAGCGTCTCCAGCAGTGCGAGCGCAAGTATGTGTGTGTGTGTGTGTGCTCAGGGTCTGGACAGCTGTGTGTAGACGGGCTGCGGGTCCCAGTGGTGTGTGTGTGCAGTATCCGCCGCCGCTGCAGGGGTGTACGGGGGTCTGCTGTAGCTGAATGTGGGGTACGGGCTGTAGTAGGCGCTGTGCTGCTCGCTGTACTCTGTATACTGTGCTCGGCTGTAGGGGGCGCTGTAGAACTGCTGCTGCGGCGGCTGCTGGCTGTAGTGGCCCGGGCTCAGCTGCTCCGTCTTGATCTGCGCCCTCTGCTGGTGCTGCTCGCCGGCATTAGCCATGGAGCTGCTCGCGAGCGGTTTGTGCATCCAGGCTGCGCTGCCGTACCCGCTGGAGAACCCTGCACCGGCCGGCCCCGGGGCCCCGTGCGGAGGCAGGTACTGGTCGAACTCATTAACATCGAAGGCCTCTATGTTGGAGATGACATCACTGCTCAGCTCGCCGATGTCCACCGCACCGAAGTCAATGCCGTCCTGCAGGGGGCGCTCTCGGTCCCGCTCCCGCTCCCGCTTCAGATCCGCTTTACTGCACACCGGCAGATCTGTTTTAGGGGTGGTGGGTGGTGTGGGGGGGCCCTGAGACTGACCTGCACACACACACACACACACACACAGAAATCAGACATGTTCAATCATATCTACTGACCTCATTCCACAGCGGACGTGTGATCGTTTCAGAACTTCAGACGTCAGCAAGAAGACGCAAGATACTGGCATCATGGGCACATACAAATTCATTCATTCATTCATTCATTCATTCACTCACTCACTCACTCACTCACTCACTCATTCATTCATTCATTCATTCATTCACTCATTCATTCACTCACTCATTCATTCATTCACTCACTCATTCACTCATTCACTCATTCATTCACTCACTCATTCACTCATTCACTCATTCATTCATTCATTCATTCGGCTTGGTCATTTATTACCATCAGTGCATTTAACTGAAGTCAATGTAATGACAGTTACGAAAGCATTCATTAATCTGAACATAACACTGATGTATACAGATAATAATTGTTCAATAAAGTGGAGTTAATAATTCACCAATTTCAGTTGTATTTTAAAGTAATAACAGTAATATAGCTAATTATTGAACATGTATACGGTGTATACCACACTAAGCATTATACCTGTTAAAGGCATCTGTTTAACTGCAGTGTAGTTCAATATCCTGATAATAGCGTATACTGTACACCGTGAACAACAATCTGCCAATGGGGGAAGCAGAATAATCTCACATCCAAGCGAAAACTAGATTATTCTGCATGTTTTAAGGAAAAACTCACTTAATTTTGGCATATTCAATCTAAAAAGAAGACCACACTTTTAATGGTTTAGAAAATGCTTCTTAAAGATCTTATATATATATATATATATAGTGCATGTTCTCTGTGTTGGTGTGGGTTTCCTCCGGGTGCTCCGGTTTCCCCCACAGTCCAAACACATGCGCTATAGGGGAACTGATCAACTACACTGGCCGTAGTGTATGAGTGTGTGTGTGTGTGTATGTGTGTGTGTGTGTGTGTGCAAGTGTGTGAATGAGTGTGTATGGGTGTTTCCCAGTAATGGGTTGCAGCTGGAAGGGCATCTGCTGCGTAAAACATATGCTGGATAAGTTTTTGGTTCATTCCGCTGTGGCTACCCCAGATTAATAATGGGACTAAGCTGAACATATATATATAGATAGACAGATAGACAGACAGACAGACAGACAGACAGACAGACAGACAGACAGACAGACAGACAGACAGACAGACAGATAGATAGATAGATAGATAGATAGATAGATAGATAGATAGACAGATAGACAGATAGACAGATAGACAGATATCTGGACTATAAGCGGGACAGCAGTAGGTATAGCCTGTTTTGCAGTGTGTGTGTTCAGTAAAGTTGAACTTGAACTTGATCTGGCGTGAGCTGACGCAAGCAGAAAGCTCATAAAGATACTCAGCGACAACAAGAGCGCCGCAGATAAGCTTTATGAGTCTGCAGGCGTTGTGTAAGTCTGCGGGGTGAGAGCGGGAGTCAGGGGTGTAAAAGCACAGTACAGTAGCGCAGGTGTCGGTGCAGTAATTTACCGGAGTGTTCTCCAGGAGAGTGCAGCTCGCCGGTGCTGGAGTCGGGTGTTTCTGCCCGCTGCAGGGCTCTGAACAGCGCATTGGTGGAGATCTGCGTCTGCTCTCCATCTTCAGACTCTGCTGAGCCGCTCTTCACTGATTTCCTCCGTCTGGGCTGGTATTTGTAGTCTGGATGATCTTTCTTATGCTGGACCCGCAGCCGCTCCGCCTCCTCCACAAACGGACGCTTCTCGCCCTCGTTCAGCAGTCTGCAAACACACCACACACACACCGTTACTGCCGACGTTCAGCAGTCTGCAAACACACCACACACACACCGGTACTGCCGACGTTCAGCAGTCTGCAAACACACCACACACACACACACCGTTACTGCCGACGTTCAGCAGTCTGCAATGATGATATCTTTACTACCATCTACAAACTCTGTCTGCTTAAGAAACTTATACTAAAGTAAATAAAGTGAGCATGAAAACTAGACGTATACAAATAAACATATATATTTAGAGAATATGTGAAGTGAAAGCTGTATGAGTCTAGATTAATTAAGGCATGCTGTGTTCCTGATTATTATTCAGTCATTCTCCTTCAGCTCAGTCCCTTTATTATTCAGGGGTCGCCACAGTGAAATGAATCGCCAACTTATCCAGCATATGTTTTACACAGCAGTTGCCCTTCCAGCTGCAACCCAGTACTGGGAAACACCCATACACTCTTGCACACACTCATACACTACGGCCAGTGTAGTTGATCAGTTCCCCTATAGCGCATGTGTTTGGACTGTGGGGGAAACCGGAGCACCCGGAGAAAACCCACGCCAACACGGGGAGAACATGCAAACTCCACACAGAAACACCAACTGACCCAGCCGAGACTCAAAGCAGCAATCTGAGTGCTGTGAGGCGATTTTGCTACCCACTGCACCACAATAACAATAATAAATAAATATATTTTTCTTCTCTGTCTTAAAACTCAAAGCACTCCTGAATAGCAAGAGTTGGACATGCAGTGAAATAGAGAGAGACAACATCCATCATCATAAACACACGAGAACAGCCAGAATACAGGAACGCCATCCTCACAAGAGCACTCGGGCTTTCAGCATCGCAACTCTACACATATTTCCCAGAACTGGGTCAGCTGGGTAAAACATGCTGGAATAGTTGTCAGTTCATTCCTCTGTGGCAACCCCTGATTAACAAAGGGACTAAGCTGAATGAATTAATGAATGAATGAACTTGTCATGTACTGTAAAGAGGAGAGAAGCAGGAAGATGAGCTGAAACCACGCAGTTCTCGAGTTCTTCAGGGCACAACTTAATTGTTCAATCCACTTTAATGTAGAATTAATCAGCTAATAACTTAATTCCTGCATCTCGTCCCAACACAAACCAACAGTGTGCATTATTATATTACATCATAATTTAGTATTATCCTGAAATGTAGACTGGTGAATGTTCTGTTAAATACTGTTGCTTTTCCTCTACTGCTGTGTGTCCATGTGTTATGACCATCGCAAACACCACACATGCTTTAGCAAGACATGTGGAGCATTCGCCATGCCAATGAAGCAGGAGAGAGAGAGAGAGAGAGAGACAGAGAGAGAGAGAGAGAGAGAGAGAGAGAGAGAGAGAGAGATGAGTTAGTGCAGAGTAATTCCCTTTAAACTCACATTACATCTACTATGTTACCAAAGCAAGCTTAAATATATATACAGCTGAAGAAGCCTCATGAGTGTCAGATGCACCTCCAGACTTCACCGCGCTTTTATCCGCCCTTAATTGAAAGTACAGTCTGCAGTGCACTGAGTAAAATAGAGTTATTGGTGCTGCTGATGTTTACAGACTACAGATTTGATGTCGTACAACGAGGACTTCTCATGTCAAATCAACCAAACTCATCAGTGCCCTTACTAGTGTGCACTACCTAGACGCAGCCCGTGCGCTAATAAGTGAGTGAATAAAGCAGTGTGTTTCTAACCTCCAGAGTTTGCCGAGTGTTTTGCTGAGCTCCGCGTTGTGCAGGTGCGGGTACTGGTCCGCCAGTTTCCTCCGCGCGGCTTGAGCCCAAACCATAAACGCGTTCATGGGTCTCTTGACGTGCGGTTTGCTCTTCCCGGAGCCGCTCACCCGCACCGGCATGGGCACCAGAGACCAGTCGTAGCCCTTCAGCACCTGCGACACCGCGTCCCGGATACACACCGGGAACTTCTCCTGCTCGTCCCGGTGCAGCGGCGGCTCCGCGCGGGGGGTCTCGCTGTCCGATCCCGAGCCGGCGGAGGCGCACGGAGAGCCGGCGGAGTCCTCGGAAAGACTCGGGCTCGGAGCTCCGGACACACTCATCTTCAGCCCGCGCTGGAGGAGATTCATGCAGAGAGAGAGTGTGTCTGAGTGTGTGTGTGTGCGTGTGTGAGCACTCCGAAAACCGCGCAGATCAGCTGCTGAAACACACACAGATCCTCCACATGTGTGTGTACGCGCGCACGCGTGTGTGTTATAAGTGTGTGTTTGGCTGAAGTAAAGAGAGTCCAGAAATCCAGGAGGAGATTCTGCTCCCTCTCCAGAGCACGACACTTATATAGTGCAGAGGGGAGGAGCAGAACACACACACACACACACACACACACACACACACACACACACACACACACACACACACACACACACACACACACACATATTGTCGATGTATGATGTTTACATTAAATATAAAATATGAAAACAAATAGCATCAGCAGCAGAAGTGATTAAATAAATAAAACAATCAATAAAAATAAACAAACAAACAAAAAAAATCAACATTTTAGGATTCATTTATGACTAATTAGAATCTCTCTCTCTCTCTCTCTCTCTCTCTCTCTGTGTGTGTGTGTGTGTGTGTGTGTGTGTCACCTAAACCCAGACTAGCAAGTGCAGTAAAGTAGGCAGCATTGCTCGACAGTCATCATGTGGACACAACACTGATGTAAACACGAGCTGATCACACTGATCGATGACTGGAGCTTCTATCTTCACCCCAGCTGCTGATTAAAGGTGCTATAGAAATGCAAGTGTTCTCTGTAGTGTGCACTCCTGATCTGTGAAGTCAAGTCAGACCAAGAGCGGTGATACAGCAGATAAAGAGGACAGACAGCAGAGATCACACTCCTGAACACATCCAGCATAAAGCGGGAACAGCATGGCAGATATGTACCTGTGTGTGTGTGTGTGTGCGCTAGCGATGACTGCCGTCAGTCTGAAGATTATTTCATTCCTTTTTAAATGAGTGCATGTCTGTCATCTCTGAGTAATGTTGTAGAGTTCCTGAATACTGCCATGTACTGTGTGTGTGTGTGTGTGTGTGTGTGTGTGTGTGAATGAGCGCGGTTTCTCAGTGCACTTGCTGACGGATAGGGGGCGACAGAGCTCAGCGTCTCTCTGCCTCAGTCTCACCGCTGCTGCTCCGCGTTTACTCCAGATAAACACCGCTGCTGCTCTGTCAACACTCTGTGTCTGCAGTGTCACATGTTACAATCTTTAATCCATCTGAATCTGTATTATTTTGGTTAAAACAGTACTACAGCAACACAAGAACACACAACAGAAGACATGCTCTGGCATTAGAGACGGTAAATCAGAATATTTGACCCAGCACTGGTTATTTGGGTCATCTGCATTGACACGAGGATCACAGCAGTGTTCTGCCGACCTGTTGATCTGTAACCATGTGGATATCCAGTGCTGTAAGTGTAAAAGGCAGCATTTGCTGCAGACTACCAGTACTCTAAATATTATTATAAATGATAAAGGCAGATTTCACACCATTCATTACAACTGTAAACAGCTCTATTTCCTCAGTACTTGGCTTATTTTCATTATACATATAGCACAGTGTGTTTGTTTATTTATTTATTGGATAAACACATTTAGATTATTTGCATTATTATACATTATTATATTAAACAAATAATCTCTATAAATAGCATTGTTAACATAATTACATTACTAATTACATCATGTAAAGTAATCAGAGTACTAATGACTTTACTTTGAAGCTGTTTTTAAATGATTTAAAATAATGTGTGGTGTAGTGGGGAACTGTGTACCATCTCGTGTGTTGAGTGTCTGGAAATGGCCGTCCTGTGCTGTGAGTATTGCGGTATCCACACATCTACAGTGCAGCTCTGAGTTTCTCTGTGTTTATTTGTGCTGGTGATGCTGTGGACATGTCATTTTCAGTGGCCGTGGGTCAGGCGTGTGTTCCTCATGAGCTGCCGGAGGAGTAATGTTTAATAGATGACAGATGTGTGTCAGAGCAGCGTCTCTGAGCGTCAGAACACACCGGTGAGCAGCTCATGTTGGCTCCGGGACCGCTTTATCAGCTTCTCTAAATTGTGTTGAGGGTAGAGTCAGTGTTGTAGTGGAGAGTCTTCTAATGCTGAGAGATTCCAGCATGGTTACTGCAGTCCTCTGCTGGCTTCCACACTCATCTATTGCGTCTGCATTTTAGATGATCCCACTAAAACACTGCTCAATGGCAGCGCAGAGATGGCCACACAATCTGAAATGCTGTTCTGCACACAGCGCAGCAGGATAAGCTCATCTCTGATCTGAATAATCCTGTATAAACTGTGTTGGAGCCAGCAGAAAGGGCCAGCCTCAGTGTTTAAAGGGTTCGCTCAGCCCAAAACACAGATTCACTCACTCATTACCCCCCTCATGTGCATTTACACCTTCATGAGTTTCTTCAGTCTGTTGAAGACAAAAGAAGATATTTTGAGGAATGTTGGAAAGCGGTCACCATTGGCTCACATAGTAGGAATAACAAATGGAAGTGAGTGGTCACAACAGGCGTCCAGCATTCTTCAAAATATCTTCTCTAGTGTTCAGCAGGAGAGGGTTTTCCTTTCTGACGTTCCTCTCCATCTCCATCTGTGAGCGCATTAAAGGCCAGCGTGAGTCTCATGTGTTCACAGGTGGAGCAGCGTGTGTGTGTGTGTGTGTGTGTGATCAGTGATACCGCAGCTCTCTCCTCAGTCACACACACTGCAGCGCTGGGAAACTTCTCAGCTTCACTTCGAGCTCCAGTGTTAAGAACTGAGAGGCAAACAGTGAAAGTCAACTGCTAAATCATGTCCTGTTCACGCTCGCGGACACTGCAGCGGACAGCCGAGAGAGAGGGTGTGTGTGTGTGTGTGTGTGTGTGTGTGTGTGTGTATGTGTGTGTGAGTGTGTGAGGGACAATCACTCAGATAAAGCCTGTGCTATTGGATGGCTGGAGAAGAGCAGTTGTGTGTGTTTGATTTGCACAATAAAGGAAAACACTGAACCAGATCCTACACCTGCCATAATAACTGCAGCGGAGACGTCATAAACTCGCCCCCCCGACACATCCATGCTCAACTAACCCTCAGCAACACTTGATTCTGCTGACTTTGGGTTCATTTCAGTGAAATCCAGAATTAGTGTGGTGTCTTACTTTACATGACATATAACCATATTCAGCTCACCACTTGTGTGTGTACGTGCAGAGTGGCGGCACGGTGGCTCAGTGGTAAGCACTGTGGCCTCACAGCAAGGTCACTGGTTTGAGTCTCGGCTGGGTCAGTTGGTGTTTCTGTGTGGAGTTTGCATGTTCTCCCCATGTTGGCGTGGGTTTCCTCCAGGTGCTCCGGCTCAGGTTAGTGTATACTCCATCCGCTGAGTAATGGTCAGGTTAGTGTATACTCCATCCGCTGAGTAATGGTCAGGTTAGTGTATACTCCATCCGCTGAGTAATGGTCAGGTTAGTGTATACTCCATCAGCTGAGTAATGGTCAGGTTAGTGTATACTCCATCAGCTGAGTAATGGTCAGGTTAGTGTATACTCCATCAGCTGAGTAATGGTCAGGTTAGTGTATACTCCATTCGCTGTTCTTGTTCTGTCAGCTTTCTATTTTATTAAAGAATTAGTAAACTTTTGCTACTGAGAACACTGTTTTGTGTCTAGTTTTAGTTTTGTGTCTGGTAGTTTTGTGTCTGGTTGTAGTTTTGTGTCTGGTTGTAGTTTTGTGTCTGGTTGTAGTTTTGTGTCTGGTAGTTTTGTGTCTGGTTGTAGTTTTGTGGCCAGTAGGCGTGTAGTAAGCAGGATTAAGCACATTAGGATGGTTGTTTTCACAGAATAACCCCTTCAGTCTTTTTTCTGAGATAACAACCATCTGGATGTACTTTATCCATTAATCATGAACTTGATAAGCAATAATCACCAAATGAATGTGCTCACACGCATGATAATGTCTGCGTGTGTTGTGTGTGGATGATGGTGTGTGTGTTATCACTGTTCTTTAATTAACATGACCCTTTATAATTACACGTTACAGCAATGTTCAGGTTAATGTGATGAGGAGTGTGTTCCTCAGAGTGTTTGTGTACGAGTGTGAAACAGGGGAAGGTTTGAGGACAGTTGTGTCAGGTGTGGTTTGAGTCTGATACAGTGATGAGCAGATGTGCTTTCTACAGTGTGCAGATAATACTGTCTGGAGGAGCGCTGTGAAGACTGACTCATGCAGAGAGGGTGTGTGTGTGTGTGTGTGAGATAGAGAGTTAGACTGGTTAAAGTGTCTGGTTCAGTCAGTGTTCTGCACTCTGCTCTCAGGTTCAGTCTGGCTCTTCATCCCGCAGTGAATCAGTCTTTTATCTGTGAGCTGTAATTAAACTTCTCCAGTTCCAGTTCTCATGAACACAGCTGCTGTTATTACCACAGCTCATACTGCTCGACTCCACTGTACTCTACTGTACTCCACTCTACTGTACTCTACTCTACTGTACTCTACTCTACTGTACTCCACTCTACTCTACTGTACTCTACTCTACTCTACTGTACTCTACTCTACTGTACTCTACTCTACTGTACTCTACTCTACTGTACTCTACTCTACTGTACTCCACTCTACTCTACTGTACTCTACTCTACTCTACTGTACTCTACTCTACTGTACTCCACTCTACTGTACTCCACTCTACTCTACTGTACTCTACTCTACTCTACTGTACTCTACTCTACTGTACTCTACTGTACTCCACTCTACTCTACTGTACTCTACTGTACTCTACTCTACTGTACTCTACTGTACTCTACTCTACTGTACTCCACTCTACTCTACTGTACTCCACTCTACTCTACTGTACTCTACTCTACTCTACTGTACTCTACTCCACTGTACTCTACTGTACTCCACTCTACTGTACTCTACTCTACTGTACTCTACTCTACTGTACTCCACTCTACTCTACTCTACTCTACTCTACTCTACTCTACTGTACTCTACTGTACTCTACTCTACTGTACTCCACTCTACTCTACTGTACTCTACTCTACTCTACTCTACTGTACTCTACTCTGAGTTTGTCTTTTATTATTTGAGCAAATGTTCATTCATTCATTTTCCTTCAGTTTAGTCTTTATTTCAGTGGTCGCCACAGCGGAATGAACCCTCAACTATTCCATGATATGTTTTGGGGAGTGGATGCCCTTCCAGCTGCAACCCAATAATGGGAAACACAC